ATGAGTCTGACCCTTAATAAAAGAATGTTTTGAGAACAAAGCCTGTTCCTTACTGTACTAAATTTATGTACACCACGCTCTGATACATAACACCAACTCACCGAGCCCTCACTTCAGTAATTTCATCAACATACCACCAATCTTTCTTTAAGTAAATCCAAGATTTAACAGGTTTCTCAGACTGCCGACAGATAGCTAAGTCTGTTCTCAGAAGCATTGTGGATAACAACGAAAACACATTGAGGATGGCTTTCCTAATCCAAGTCTGTTGCTTTCCTAGTGTTACAAAAAAGAGTAGAATACTTTTTTTTCCCCTCTAATCAGGTATACTTTTCAGTATGTTTGCATGACTGACATTACAACATATCACTAGCTATTAACAGGAGTTCAAAATGAGGGTAAACAGAAATATGTATGTACAGAACTTTCACCACAGTGTGTCTTATTACTTAGAAAATATCCTAAAAGTAATAATTTCTGAATTTTTCCTGAAGCTGCAAAAGTTAAACCATGATAGATTGGTAAAGAAGATAGTATGTAACAGGAACACCCAGCATTACTACTGCAAAGTGTTAAGTGAGTTTAAAAATTACATCAGTACCTAGATAGAGAGAAACTACTCTAACTGCAACTCGCTGTTGAAAGACACAACTGAATGCCAAGTGTGAAGGGACAAAGAACAGATTCTAACAGAATGCAGAAAAACACTGTTCTCTCTGCCTCACTCTCTCCAAGAAAACAGATTAGTCAAATTTGCAGTCTATGCTTTGTTTGTACCTGCATAGACTAGTTGTCCAGAAATACTTTAAAAATAATCACATTTTTTATGAAGTCATACACGTTCATGACTCTCTTGCACATCGATAAGCTCAGTCTCAGCAGCGTACCAAAGCCAAATTTGACGTGTGCTGTTTTGGTGAATTTATTGTATCATAACATTAATAAGCTACAGCATCACAAAAGTATTTTATTTAACCACCTCTTAATCAACAATTAACACTTTTAAATAAACAGAACCTGTTGTGAGAGTTATTCTACATCTATTCACAACCTACTGCACAACTGCTTCATCATCCTTTTGCTCTCCAGCTGCACAGTTACACAAATGTTTTAAAGAGCTTGCTTTGCTACAGAAGGTGTGCATCAGTTGCTAAAGTAATTGCTTCAGATACCCACTGTAATCAACAGTTGCAGACTCTCATGCCTGGTAAAACAGGTGCCAGACAAGGAGTCTGCAAGTCTGCACTACACATTTATGCTCAGTATAGTACAAAGTTTAATTTCAATATGTTTTTCTCACACATTTCACCACTGTCTACCAGTTTGTACTCCCCTTAACTTCCCCCAGAAAGGAGGAAATAAAAAAAAATCTTGAAGTATACCTTTAACACTTTTTCCTAGGAAATAAGTATATGCACACCTGTTTTGGCATATGACAACTACCATTTGAGAATTTATATGCTTCGTCTCTTACCAGAAGAAGTCTGAAACAATCTCTTGGGAACAACCAGTCACTACCTCCTTTGAAATTCTTGTTCACTGACACAAGATAACTCTATTCTCTCTAGATATTGCAGATGTTACCAAAATGTTAAAAGTTACTTACGGTTTTCCCCCAGGAATCCCTGCTAGGTTTGGAGGGATTCCAGGTACTCTCATGTGAGGAGGAGGATCAAACCCAACCTGACAATGAAAAAATCAATTAATCTTACACTTGCAATTTCTCATTCTGCAAGCCCCTTTTCCTCGCGCCCCAGATCTTATAGCATTTAACTAATATATGACTTTTACCCACAGCATTAGATAAGCGCAGGTCCCTTCATAGACGGGGAAAAACAAGACATTTTCCCTAGGCATGCTTCTGCTAGAAGTATCCATACATGAATAGAAAACAAACAATGTAGATCATGTATTCACACCACTGAGTGTAACACAAACACCCCTGTGTTAGCACTGAGCTAGCCCTGGAATTAAGAGTTCATGGTGTGTCAGCTGGTAGCCAGGGCAGCGCTCCTCAGCAGTGCGACAGCCAGTGTGTACCCCTGCAGGCATGGCGCTGTGCTGGAAAGCAGCTTCAGGCCCCAGCTCAGATCTCTGCTTGGCTCCACACTGCACTGTGTGGGCACATCAGCTGAGAGATCTCTCATGGAGCTACACCGCAGGGTGCAGACAAATTTATCTACAGCTTAAATATACTATGCTCTCTTTAGAGACTGCAATTACACTAAACTTTTATGTCCTGAATAAATACGTACATCAAATAATCCAAACAGAAATTCTGGACCAAACAAACTTAGTTTTAATTCTGAACATCGTAGCTGAGTTAAAATTATTATTCCTTTAAGGAGCGCATATGCTATTTAGAATTTCCACATTTTCACATAAAAGTCCTCTTTACCAGTTTGAAAAAAGTAGCTGTATCTGCCATAATGAGAAGATGACAAGCTTAAGTACAATCTTGCAAATTTACAAGTAGGTAGTTTGTCTATACATAAAGCTGCCATCAAGTTCGTGTTTGCAGAATCAGGCCGCTCAGTTATTCTGCTTGACAGCAGCTATAACTATGATGGTCCATTTACTTGCTACATCCACAAGAGCAACTATTCTTAATACATCTTATCACAGAGCTCCAAGATATATACCAACGAACTTCTCATGTCGATTTCCACAAAAAACAAAATACAAGGACAGAGATGTAGATAAAAAGACTTCCACATGCTTCAAGATTAATTTGGTATGTCTGTACGGAACACAAACGTAATTCAGCAAGAGAAAAGCAGATGTCCACAGCACCAATGAAATACTTTGTAGCTACCAAAATACCTTTTCATTTAAAGCACAAAATATTTTTTTTGCATTTATTAATCAGTCAAACCTCTGATGAAGGTGAAGAAAAAAGGAAACATCCATAAATACACCGAGATTCTTTGTTTTCAAGGTGCAAATTTGTTTCTCCAGCCACGCAGCAAAGTGAAATACACAGTGAAGCTGTCAAGCCCCTGGCACTGTTATAACTCGGGAATTCTACACTGCTAAATGAAGCATGTACCTCTTCTCAGTGAATCACAACTCACACGACTTAGATTGCATGCAACGTATGGCCTACCATAGGAGATCTTCCATAGGCAACCACAGCAGCTGCAGCAGCAGCAGCACTCATCTGGGGTGACATATTGTGCAGACTGGCATAGGCTGCCCCTGGACTGGTTAACTCTCCATTCATGCCAGCATGAGGTACCATTCCAAATGGAGCAGGGTACGGTCCTGGTACTGCCAAGGGTGTCCGCAAACCTGCAGCTACAGAATAATGAAATCAAGTATTTTTATGTGTATATTCCTGCATACAGGGAAGAAAATAGCCCTTTTTTCCCCCCTACAATACCTAACCTTCCACTCTTGCATAGACACACTGCCAAGAAACATTGCCATAATTTGTCAGTACCACCATCTCTTTTCACTCAGTGTAAATATGACCTACTGAAGTCTGAACTTGCTGATTACTTCTAACAATCTCTTCTAGCATTACCTATTTCCATTTATATAATATTTCCCTATTTACATTAATCTCTTCTTTGCCAAATTAAGCAGTAAAGCTGACAGACATGGTTTACACAACTCACATCTGAAGCAACTGCGCTGTACCAGCCTGAATAGCAAAAGTAAACTTCCCCCCACATTTGTCAAGATTTACACTGCAGCAAATATTAGTAGACTCAAAGAGCTGGAGAAGAGATTGCATTCAGAGTAAGTACCAGAAACTTCTGAGAAGTCTTTTTATATTACATTCAGTCTCTGGATTATTTGCAAAAATGATAAACTCAAAAGTAAACAAAGAAGGCTGAGAGATAGAAAGGTATTCAAACTCTTGATAATCCAAACATCTGCTTCTCATCAAGCCCTCTCTTGATATCAACAACAAAACAATACATTTAGTTAATATTCACACAGAACTACATACATAAAATAAATTAATTCTGGAACTATAAAATATCATGAAGTAATGCATTACCAGCTTGGTTAACCAGAGGGTCCATTGTTGAAGGCTTGCCAAGGCCTGGACGAAGTCCTGGAGTTGCACTAGTGCCTGGGGTTGGCACATCACTTCGAGGAGTTGGTGTGCTGGATTTCAGAACAGGCGTGCTGGCTTTTTCATGCTGGTATCATTAAACAAATTAAATGAGTATTATTTTTAATCTAGGCCATATTATACAATTTATCACAACAGCAGCTGGGATGCTGGGCACCTACTACCTAGTCCCTCAGCCAGTTTTCATAAATCCGTGCAATGCTGACAACATTAACTTGTGAGAGAGAAATGCTGACCTTTTTGATTTCTGCCAAAATTGAAATAAGAAACGAAACATAAAGTTATTTTTCTGTCTTCTATTGGCACAAAAAAAAATGGCTAGGATTTTTTTTTCAGGACAATACAGTAAGCAACATCAAGTTATTTTAGCTTGAAATCATTACTGTGTCTATTATTGGACACAGCAAATCTAAGTACAAAAACAAAATACCACCATAGTTGCTAGTATCAAAAAAGTATGACACAAAAGCTACAGAGAATCTGATCAAATTATTAGTGATACTGCAGGAAAAGTTTTCAAAGAGTAACAGCTTATTTAGAAGAGTTTAACAAAAGCCTGGAGAACTTCTTAGTGACTATATACAGACAATGTTAACCATAAGCTATTGCTCAAGAAAAAAACAAACAATGCTTAAGGAACTCCTCTACTTTGTAATAAATTTTAACTCATTTGACAGAAACGTAGGAAGTACAAAAAATCAAAATGATGCAGAAAATATTGCTAAGGAGGAAAACTGCATAATACCATGGAAAAACAGTAATCTATTTCAGCTTCAAATGTTTAAAGCCATATACGTTCTGTCACAAGTAGCTGCAGGAGAATGGAGAGTCAGACTTTACAGGAAAGAAAAACATTTATCCGGACAACAGACTGCTACCCACCAGACTCATTTCTTTGGATTTGAGGGAAGTGGAACTTCCTGAAGAGGCTGTAGATGCTGGACTGCTAGAGGCATCCTTCTTCAGCAGGCGGGTTTTATCTATACCATTTTCACGTGGTGAATGAGCAGGACTTGCCCTTGGGGAAGAAGGATCCTAAAACAAAGGGAAGGGAAGAACACAAAACCATGTCATTGGTTGGTACACAAACACCATTAAGGAGCTATCGGAAAAGAACTAGAAGAATTTAAGCAGTAAGTTCAAAAGACAAGACATTTTATTATCTCTATTGAAAAAAAGCTGAAATCCCTTCATCAATTTAGAGACATAAGAGACATAAGTAAGTTCATATAAGTTCAAGCAATCTGGTTTTATTTTACACTACATGTAATCATAAACTATGCAAGCTGCATGCTTGGAAAATCTAACGATACCTAAGTACAAACTAAGGTAAGCGCGTATGACACATGATAACAGCAAGAAAGACCAACTGTAACTACAGTAAGTTTACACTGTTTTTTCCATGTATGTTCTCCATACGCTGCTAGTGACAAAAAACATTTCAATAATCTCTTTTAGGGCATACAAACCTTGCCCATCTTTATCTTCAGAAGAAGAGATAGACACAGGCCTCATATGCCATAATATCTGTCACTTCTTTCTAAATCCCATCTGCATTGCCTTGCCACTTAAATCTACAGGAAAAACTGAAATCACCTCTCAGATGATTACCTTTCTCTCTTCCAGAGGCACTTCATGCATTTACTTTAACCTGAAATAGCCAGCCCAGCAAGCTACAATGACATCAGAGCTCTGCAGGTTCTCCATGCTCCTCTAGCTCATGAGAACAGTAGCAGGAAGGAAGCAGTCCTCACAAGAGGTCACTAAGTCTACTGATCAATTACTGAGGTGTTTAATTGTAAGTAGGACTTCTGAAAGAATTACTGAAATCCCTAGTTGGATACCTATTTTTCTACTTGGCTGACATCATTCGGGCACTTGGAGCTGCTGAAGACACTTCTCTTCAGTCAGCTTCTCTCCCTGTGCTTTTCACACTGCAGAAGAACCTCCCTACCATACTCAGGTTTCCTAAATCTCTGTTGTATGAAATAAGGGATGAAGAAAAGGGAAGACCCAACCCTTCACCTTGATGCCACCACCAAATCTCTGCCCTGAAGAAAAGAAATGGCTACAACCTCTGGAAAATTTTGTGAACTGACTGACTTCATTCTAAAAACCAAACATTTCTGGAAAATGCTGTCTTTAATGTAGGACATTAAAATACTAGTAAAGGTACCAAAAATGTTTTTAATAATACTGCTACTATTAAATACAAGGTTAGGTGTTGTCTTCCTTTCTCATCTGAAGACAGTAGTTTGAAAACCTCAGCCCTCTCACCACAACTCTCTCCACTACACAGTAGCTGTGAAGCGTCAGAATGTAACTGCGGAGGGAAGAAACCTGGACAAAGAAGCAGAAGGAAAAGCCAAGAAGGTAACCAGATAAAGCTCAGAGGAAGACATAGTAACTGCAGTGCTAACAAAAAGAAGTGAATATTTTAACATATCCACATAGAGGATGCTTTTTCCTCTAACATCTAAATGCACTTTTTCTTCAACCTTTGGGCAAACGTCAAGACTACAAAAATGAAAAAAGTTACCTCATTGGATACATCTACAACCAAGTTATCGTCACTCTTGTCCCCATCACTGTCCTATTAAAAATAAATAAATATAGTGTTCATTCCATTAGTACATTAAGAGCCCAGAGAGAAAGACTACGCATCTACTCATTTTTTGGTTTTCCTAAACAAAAAGCAAACAGCCTTTCATTAACTTATTAGCAATAGGAAAAACAAGGAAAACAGGAACACAACACCTTATTTCTGCTTCAATAATAAAACCCAAATAAAGTAGAACCAGTTCAAAGGTGGTGGTCTCACCATCAGTGCAAGATGGTCCAAACCCCCTCCTTATTACCATCATAAACAGTGTTATCACTAATCCTAAAAGAAAAACTCATTCTGTTCATATGCTAATCTTACATGTTAATCTTATGCAAATTAGTGGTTGTGCATACCTAAAAAAACCCAACAGATCTCAGAAAACTGGAGCTTTTTGGCATTTATTTTATGAATCAACTTCCTCAAAGTGATAGGACAATTCTTCTTTTCCAGAAAGGAAGGTTTTGAAATTGAAAGTTCTGTGGAAGAAAAAGCTTCTGAAATGCCAAGGCATTTCAACATTTCTGCCTAACAAAACCAAAATACTTTGACATTCCTAAATAGAAATGTTTTATTGTGGCTTGTCAAGCTGCATTTTGATTGTTTCACATAAATCTGTGTTCACCTGAGCTGCTTTAGTGCCTCACAATATTTGTTACTCAAGTGCCTTCTGGTCCCCATCTCCAGAATGGGCTGGGATGCCCTAGTAGACACATTCTATGATACACAACAGTCTAGTGATTTCCACAGTGAACCATGGTGGTTCAACCAGAAGGTGAGTCTTGTCTCAAAAACAAACAAAAACCTAAACATCAAGTGGATGATAAAGCTTAAAATTTTCGTGTGAGCAAGTTTGACATTTCCAATAAAAATAGCTTTAGTTTAAAAGTTTCTAGGCAAATAAATCAGACATACAAGATTGCTCACACTGTCCCCCATCTCTTGCTTTCAAAGTTTCTGGGCTATCACACTTAAAGTAAAGCACCAGTTCCTTCCTCTCACTTCAGGCCACAAATTTAAAACAAAAGCTAACAAAAAAACCCAAAACAAACAAACAAAAAAATCAACACCAACAGATAGTTTCAACTCTTCCCTTCTGCTTAAGCAGCTGAATATTGCTCCAAGAAATACCGCAAACATATTAGGGACCCAAGAGTGCCACTGAAGACAGAATGGTGGCTCTATTTACCACTCAGGAAGCTTTCCAAACAAAAGCTGCAAAAGGAGAAGGAACAGGAAAGCTTCAGCCCCTGTTATCTGCCACCTCTTGAAAAGTATGAAGCACACAGAAGGCAAGAATAGGTTAGAACACATTTGAGCACGTGGGAGCACAGTAGGTGGGACACTTGTTCAAGAGAAATACTGTCCCCGAGGAGGGCAAAAATAGCTGCCAAGCAATGATAAAGCACACTCCACTGGCTGTCATCTAGAGAAACAGAAATTTACTGGGACTCTGAAAGGCATCTCGTATAGGTACTATTAATATCAAAAGATTCTGCTCACTAACAAATCCACAGGTTGAAACTATACAGGCGTTAACATGAAAATTAGAAGTCAAAAAGAAAAAAAAAATTGCATTTTGCATCTTATTTCCAAAAGCAACAATTCCTACAACTCGTTTATCTTCCTTCTGACAAAAGCAGTACTTCCTTGTCCCTACAAGGGCCTCATCAGAAATGAGCTCAAAATTGGCAGCTCTGTGTTTGCAAATTCAGGGAACCTTGAAAAAGAAAGATCTTCTTCCAGATTAGAACAAATCTGGAACTTTCAAATATCCTTGTTTTGCTCATTTCTTTATTTTGATGCTGTCTTTATCCACAAAATCAATTTCAAGAGAACAGGAAACAGAACCACACATTTAAAATGTAGATTAAAACAAACTGCTTCTACAGTGCAATAATATCCTTCCCATTTCTTCCCAGCAGAAATACAAGAAAAACAAGCAAGTTAAGCTTTTTCTTCCTTTTGTTTTATACCAAATGTAGCTTAAAAATGCTTAATCTTCAAATATTTGAATTGATAAATGCTCATAGAATATCAAACCCTCGAAGTTGATGGAGTAACATGGGGGAGTTTGCCAAACTCTTCTGAGCATTTAGAATTGAAGTTGAAAGCCTATGTGAACTTTCTGAGGTTCACCTTTGCCACACTGCTGTATTGAAGTGTCTCTTTGAAATGAAGCAGCAAGCAAGCTAGTCAAAATGCAGTACACAAACTATGAACTTTTTCTATTTCAGTTTGCTTTCTGCTGAAACTGCCATATTAATCAAAAGCAAACTTTAGTAGGTTGGTACAGCCTCACAATATATACAATTTGCAATGGTAATTATTACTCAACATGGTAACACTAGTATCAGAAAAAGGTACTAACCCCCACACCCAAACCTACAAAATCCTCCATTGCAAACAAACCTGCAGGTTTTAGAGCAGTCCAGAAAGTATCTCTTGCTTAAACTCTGAGAAATGTCGCAGAACACTTGTGAATCCCAAACAGCTATTCCTAGCTCGTTGAGGAGTATTGCTTGACAATAGCCCAAACTATTGCATCATTACTCTTCCCACAACACGAATAATGGTCTCCCTGGCACATATATTCATGTACTACTACATCAGCCATAGGAAACACATTGCCTTGTTCTTCACAGCTCTTTTACTTCTCATACAGGCACAGTATGTGTAAATAAATCAATCATTTCTTTGACACAGAGTTGCTTACATAGTGGCTGGAATCCTTATCATCCACCTTTCTCTTTTTGATGTCATTGGTATATTCAGGGCCATTCCTGCGTTTATCTGTGCTTCGCAGACTGTCCGGGACCAAAAGAGAATTACTCTGTAAAGACAAAAAACAAAGTCAATCAAAAATTCCTTTCAAGATTCCTTCATATATGCTTAAAAACTCAAATTGGATGTGATAGATGCTTTAGAAATGTGATACCTACATAGTCATTTAATTTAATTCAACTCAAAGTCCTCCAGGCAAACATGTACAGCTTCACGCATCCTAAGAAGCTTGACTTTTCATTGTTCAACTTATCAAAAGTTTAGTTCGCTTGTCAGTCACCATCTATTTAACTAATTAATTCAACCGAATTTATTGTTTAGGAAAAGCAGACTCGCTGTTTATTTATGAGCAGCTAACAATGATTTTTGTTTCTTTTTTTTATATAGAGATCCCATATAATAAAAGAAACTTAATAAACATAACCTGATTGATTGCTTACTTCTAGTCCATCATAAATAGATGAGGCTTTGGTATGTCTACACATGCAGGTATCGACAGATATATGACAACCTGCCTTTAACTCTTAAAATAACAAATATTTACCAAATAAGGTTATGCATTAATCAATTGTTAGCTGCGGTAAAGTCCAATTGAATGTCTTCAACAAATGTATTGCAAACAAAGATCAAATATTTTTACTTCCAGCATAACATTCACTACTAGTGTGAAATTAAGGCTAAAGTGCTGTTTAATCAGACTTGATCTGAAAAACTGAGGCCAACACACACACACAAAAGACAAAAGCAAAGACTAATCTTTTCCTCAAACTACAAGGACTACTTTCATTCATGCTAAGTTATGCTAAGTACAAACTGTTGACCCAAAGAGAAAGGCATTTTAGACATTTTTCAGTCACATGACAATTTGACATGCTTGCGATTCCCATCTCCATCTCCGTTCCAGCTAAAGCATTAAAACGTGTTACAATGAGTTCCTTTAAGTGCAGGATTAGCATATGCAAGAGGGCAATTTGTTCAGTGATGTGTTAATGCTGTGAACAATACTGAATGAGTTGAGAAAAAAATCTCCTTTCACAAAGACCTGGTAAGCCTAGTTCTGAAAAGACAAGTACATGCTCACATAAATAAATATATGCTCCCGTAAATATATAAGTAAATACATATTTACGTGCATATATATCCCTCACAAGAGAAAAGCCCAATACCGACATATATACTATGACATAAGTGTAAGCCCTCAGAGGAAATACTTAGACCTTCCCGAGAGCAATAGATAGTTACTCTTAATATATCATAGACATATACTAATAGTCAGTCATCTGTACACTGAATGGCTTCCCCTTTAAAGCCTGAGGACATCCCAGTACTTTTGCTCAGACATTAATTTTTAGTCCCAAGGAGAAGGGAAACAAAACAGGGTACATAAGGCAATCTGAATCCAGTTTTTCTTACTTCAGAAGCTGCACTGTAAAGCCAACTCTAAGCTCTTTTATTCATGACTATTCAAGCTAAACAAATGCCAACGGGCTTACATAGAGCATACAGGAGTGTCTAATGAAATTCAGTATAAAGAAGCTCAAAATAATGTCTTTACTGCAATGTTTTGCAGCTAGAAGGTGGGCTTGTTGGATCACTGAACTAATTGCCTTGACAAATACAGTCTGAATTTAACTCCTCATCTCCTCCCAGATGCATACAAACTTAGGGATTCAGTAGTTTGAAAAATATTAAAACCCATCTTCAATATTTTAATATTGAATCCATCATGTCTATAGGAGTAGAAGCATCTTAAGAAGCAAGCTGTCAATTCAAACTTGACCACAGATTTGAGTACTGCAAATGCCTTTTCCTAAGGAAGAAAGTCTCTTAGCAATGAGATATTTCCTTTACAAATTTTTTTTTTTTTTAAAAAATCTATTTTACTACTCAAGAATTTAGAATAAAACAATGAAGGCAAATGTAGTACAGTGAATAAACTCAGTTTCTCATTTTAAATCACCAAAATTAAGCATGAATAATGGAAGGATGGCAAAAGGGCAGCAGCTGGGAAAAATCTAGCAACTCTGCTATTTGAAGTTACTACATAGAAGAGTAGGGAAGAACTTGCAAATTTTGGCATTAAATATGTGTAATTAGAACAGCTGATATTTTTTTCTGGTTTAATGTAAACTCTACCTACACAATGCTGACGATACTTTGTACAGTTTGTCTTGTAAAATTTCAATACTGTGAAACTTACCTAGGAACTCCTAGGTATACCTAGCTCCCACTGTGTCCTAAATGCCAAATAAAGATTATTAGATTTGATTTTTCCTCAAAAGACCGATGGCTTACTTATCACTAACATATAATTATAACAATAGTCTACAGTCCTCACAAGCCTGTTCTGTAAACATCTCCCTTATGGTCATATTTATACTGCCTTTCTCTAACTTACCACATTCATTTAAAGCACTGTTCTCTCGAATCAAAACATCCTTGCTAGAAGCTGTAGTAGAGCAGTTTATTTCACAATAGCTATACTGGCAGTTGCAAATAAGATCATGTTGTTACTCTGGCAAAATTTACCAGTAAACTTAATTAAAAAGTTACTGTTTTGTTTCCCTTAGGAGTACAAAGAATTGTGTTGTACAAGAATTGTGACTAAAATCAGGTAAAGAATAACTTTTGATGAAAAAATAGCTTGCTACTGTAACCTACTACCATAATTCAAACGACCAATTGTGTGATATTCAACAATATGAAAATATGCATCTTTTTCAGTAATGCATATGGTAGATCCAGAACACTGAGGTAACAAAGGAAATAAGTGAAAATACAAACAAGAACTGGGAAAGAGATGGTCATATAAGCCTTAGGCTACTGACATCTCTTACCAACATAATGTTAAGGTTCAGGGAGCAGTGAGGACAGCCTACTAAAAGCCACATTTCCTCATTTCAGCTGTGGTGGAGTTTATATTTGCTTTATGTTCACTATCAAGCATAGGGCCAGCTAGGAGACAGGAGCAACAGCCTCACAATGAGAGAGTTCTCCTTATCTTATCTTTAAAAAAAAAAAATAAAAATCTGTTTAGTTCTTCTACCAGGCCTGCTAACATCTGGCTTATTTTTCAAAAGCAGAACAAGCATTTTCATTTTAGCTATAATTTCTTCCAATAGTGCTACAGAAATTTTCAGTTGGGATTGATCTTCAGTAATAATCAGTTTGTACAAAAAGGGTAAAAAGATATATACATGCATAGTTGATTTCCTAAAGAGAAACTGCATGACACCAGTTTTCATTTTGTCTTAATTGCAACAGATGAGACACATAATTGAGGATAATCCTTGCTTTCATACTAGGAGTTCAATTTATTAGGGATTACCAACACAACAGCTGTAAATCATGAATCTCAGATCAGAACAAATGATCAAAATCAATTTTATGTAAATGTTTTCTTTTTCTTCCTATAACTCAAAATTTATTCACTTGAATCCCTTTTCTTCAAGTAAGTCCTGAAAGAAGAAAAAAGCCTAGAGCAGTTCCGTTTCCTGTCAGTTACTAGACTGCGTAAGGACTGTGTAACAGGCAACTTGGGATCCTAAAGCCACTTTGCTGCCAGCAAAAGTTAAACACTGAAACCACCAGCAGCAAATGTGTGAAAAAAAAAATCCAGTCATGATGGACAGAGAGAAGGCAGATTCCCTATTAGGAATATAACGCACATTATTCAAATGCACTTTGACTGCCGTGCCATTCCCCATAGGAACCACTTCCAAACCACAAGTATGTGTGCCAGAGGTACAGGCTGCAAGCCCACAGTATCTCATTTAGACCCAGTTGTAATACAGCACAGACAATTCACTAGAACACAGAGAACTGATAATTACCTTTATGCTGATCATTACAGCAATTAAATAACCGTATTTACATCACATCTGTGCTTGTGGTTCAACTACACCTGGTCCCAATTAAGATCTTCTCTAGTGCAAGGCTCTTTGTCCCTCCCACTCCCCTTTCTCTCAAAGACAGACTGACCTGCTCCGTGCTTGGCCATTCAGTAACTTGTTGTACATCCAAACCAACTGCACCCACCTGTCATTACAGCCAGTTATTACTCCTGACAACCTGCATTTGCCCATATCAATAAGCAAGTTTGCTGTGTTTATTTAACCACTACACTGGACCTGTGCTGCTGCACCACACACAAGTGCTATCTGCAGATATCCATATGTAGACAGGAACAAATGAAATCCCTGTTGAGGAGGCAAAACAGGATCCAGTCTAACACCTACAACCAAAACATCACTTGCCCAGCAGTCCCAATGCCCATTGTCAGGACTCGCTGATAGGAATACAGTGGACATTGGAAGAGGGACTAGCACTTAACCATCCCCCCTGCAAGGCACAAGAAGATTGCAAAGTTATTCAACTCAAGAAACATTAACTTCTGTTTGTTGAATACGTTTCTTACAAACACATACTTCAACAACCAAAACGTTGATTTCTAAAGTCAATAGGTTTTGTTTTAAATTACCAGTGATGGAAAGCTACTGACTTCACCCTCTTTTCACCCAGCATTTTAAGTTATATTTAGACTAGCATGATCATATTAGGAACAAGGGAATCTAGAAGGCTACATGGATTTGAATCACTCTCCATATTGATTCAATAATCGGGAGATATTAACAGAGAACAAGGCTTCTTTTGATTTCAGTATTTTCGAGCTAAAGTTCATCAGAATCAGGGTATGCATAAAAATTTACACCAGACCACCCCAATCCTCTTGTCCTTTGTCATCAGCTTCATGCCGCTCTGTATCAGCTACAAACTGAACTTCAGCACAGCATCCCATAGCTCTTCTGTGTGAGCAACTCCTGCTGATGCTAATTTGTGGTTTGCATCCATAAAGACTGTAATATGACTTATTTTTAAGTTGACAGAGCCAATAAAAAATAAAGATAACTGATTAAAGAAATCCAAGTTTTTCAATTACAAGCTATATAATGGGATACATTCTTCACAAAGGTCAAGAAGCATACATATGCTATACTGAAGAGTATCCTGTCTTTTCATAACACCTTTTATGATTCCTGCCCTATTTAAAAGAAATAAAACACAAACCAAAACCAGTTTGCATATAACATCAACCAAAAAGTAACATTCAATTGTGCCTGCCTCCTTCCTCCAAGACTGGGAGGTGAAGAATAGGACCAAAAGCTACAGACACAGAATATTTTTCTGCTGTAAGAAAAGAGCATTTGCTTTACAAAACAATAGCAACACTTATGCTTAACAATGAAAGCAAAAAAATTTCTTGGAAAATTTATGAGTACTTCCTAAGTCTCAGAAAACAAGCCTAATGTTTTTCATGAGGACAAAAGATAAACACCAACCTTCATGCAAATCCCAAGCACATAATGAAGTCAGATTTCACTGTCTACAAATTATTAGTGATACAATAGAGAGCTTCAGAACATTTGCATTTCTATGCTGTCCAAACAGGATACTGGAATAGTGGGAAGACAAATGATAAATGAACACCTAAGACAAGTTTGAAAAATGTTGCTAGTATGTTCCCTAGAGAAAAAAACGTGGACACAGTTCTTTCATATTGATGACTCCCAAAACTTTATTAAGCTCCAGCTGCAAAACTTGCTTGCTTTGCCTAGCTCATTACCTGCAGACAGACTGTGTCACAATAGTAGGGATGTCTGCATTCCCACAACAGTTTTGGATGGCTAGAGCTACACCAGCCAATACTCACCAGCCATTATCCATGTTACCCTATAATTTCATTTTGACCAAATAATTTTAGCAGTTCCTGTATGAAATATGCTGTTATTACTAACTTGAAGGTTATATATTTCACAAACTTGCATTTACAAAGAACTTCCCTCCATTTTACTTCCTGAAACCTTAACTATTATAAAAAAAGAACGTAGACCTTGCCTTTTAGATAGAACAAAAGTGGGTAAAATGGACACTGATCACACTCAAGAATAATGAAATCACTACATCTTTATATTCCTTTACAAATACATGAATCTCACTGCATTATGAAGTATTTCTAACATGTAATACAGAAAAACTGCTTATTTGCCTAAGGAGACTATAAAAAAATAAAACCAGATCTCATTTTAAAATTAATATGCTCAAATAATATGCCACAACATGCTTTAACTCAAAGCTATGTCAAAAAAACTCAGTTTAAAACCACATAGGCAAGCAGTAAATTGTAATCTTTCAAACTTGCACATTTAAAGCTGTCAGCTTCTACCAATGATACTGGAAGGTCACATTAGGCGTATTTGATGGAAATCATACTGTAGAACTGCACAGTAATACAAATATCATGGTTGATTTCGGTAACGAACAGACAGTATGGGTTTTGGTGTCTTGGATGATGAAAACAAGCCTTTGTCAGGTTTTCTGGTAGCACCATTACACTTAGAATATTACTCTGAAAATCAAATTGATCTTACCTTGGTAACCCACATGTTATAAAGTAATTTGCAAAATAAGAGCCTACTGCTTAGTTGGAACCACATGTTATAATTAAACAGACCTGCAAGTATGGCTTGTGTACTTGTGATCAATTTTCTATTATCTTTAAAAATATATTTTAAGTTAAAAAGAAACCCATTAGAAATATAAGATAATTAGAGAATTTAAAAGAGTAAATCATTCCCAGCTGATAATTTCAGCCACAGATTTGAATTTGACTATCACTTGAATTACGAATCTTTCACTGAAGATACCATTTACTGTTAAGCATCTGATTTTAAACTCAAAAACTCTTTAGCAAAGTACATGATGGACAGGGCAGGTGAGGATGGGAAGACAGCAAGGACAGGAAACGTAACAACCAAAGCAAAATGCGAAGCCATCACTCACATATGTGCACATGTGTGTGCACACAGACACACACTCCAAACGTCCTTCTTTAGCTCTTAAGAAAAGTTGTTGCAATTGACTAGCAATACTCAAAGAAATATGTCCCACTAAAAGAAATATGTCCTCAATAAGCCTGAGGTTTCACGAAGACCCAGCTTAAAATTATTTCCACAGTTACACTGTCATTAATAACATCAAGAAAGTTGAAACAAATGCTTCTTTCGTATTCATCTAGAAATAAAGAAGACTGCCACAAAAGATATGCAGATAGTTTCCAGCAAATAATTGTCAATCCCTAGTATAAAAAAAGCAGCAATAATATTCTAAGTTAGTATTGTAAAGATATCTGTCAAATAACTTTTCCTAGTACTTGTCTTTTCTAATCAAGAAAAAGAAACAAAATAGAGCCCAAATGCACCTATGACATCATCAAGCAGAATTAGTTTTGTTACTTGAAATGACATGAAAGTTGCACATGCCCACCTCCAAGAGATTAATACAGCAGTATCACCCAAAACACAACAGTATAAAAAGCTGTAACAAAGTAGTTCCTGGTCTGGTTTTCAGATGTAAAATTGTCTTAGACCAGTTCTATTACAGCTTATGTCTAAAGGGGAGAAAAAAGTATTGCTATGGAAGTTATACCTGAAGCACAAATTAAGTGGTAAAGACATTAATATGGCTTAAACAGATTCAGTTAAAGAAACTCCTAGGGCCAAACACTGTCATGACACATGAATTTTGAATTTCTCATCTGTTCTGCAACTCTAATTCCTGCAAATCCTACAGGAAAAATCTTAACTCTGACTAATAATATTATACTTTCAGTTGCAGTCAACATTCTGTTTGATTTGCAGCTTCCCCTCCACCCACAATAAGCAAGTTAAAGTTCAAGCTTCCCCAAAAAGCATTCTGCTCAGAAACAAACCTGATTCATACAGTCCTCTAAACAAATGACTTGGTGCTCTGCATAAACCAAGAGATATCTTAACAGAAAACACATATGCCTGACATGAAACTGACTAAAAGGAAGGCAAAACAGACAAACAGTGCAACATCTAATTATTGCATTATGTAGAAGTGGAAACATTATTTTTTTTTACTGTGCCCGGCTCTCTGTCTGCTCCCGCAGTAACCAAGAAATGCATAGACATGCCCGTTCAGACACAGAGGCAAGAACAGAAATAAAAAAGGGGGGAAAAAAATTAGAACACAAGCCGCAAACAGTTTTAAAATGGCTTTTATTTATATAAGTCATTGCACATTCCTAATACAGTGATTTCCTGAAAATTACAGTATTTTGTAAACATGATTTACAGTTTAACCATACACAAAGCCTAGTTTCATTTCATGACAGAATAAATTATTTTCTTTTCAAAAATTAGTCAAGTGCAATTTTGCCCAATATTTAATTGCGTACTAGAAGTTAAGCCTATGAAACTAAAGTAACAGATGCACTTATCTAAATCTTTTGCTTGAACACATTCACTTCAAAAGTTAATTACTTGTTCCCCCTACCTTCCCACCCATCCCTTTAACAACGTTACTTTCTTTGAAAAAATTACCCATTATGAAGTTTAACAGTTTTCCACAATATGGTGCAGGCCACTGGTGTTACAACTAAGCATTTACCAGGATGTCAAAATGCCCTGCAAACTACAGAGCAGGTGACACCTAGTGATCCCCTTTTAAAATATTGAAAAATTCCAAGCTGAGTTTTACTTCAGTGGTATATATGCAGACATTTTTAAGTTTGTCAACAGTTTTTTCTCATTCTATATAACTTGAATTCTTTAGAGATGCACATAATTTGCAGTTATGCGCAAATTTGACCATGTCCTAATCAGGCCTGCCATGCCTCTCACCTCTGTGGTGCTCTGCATCGTGATGCTTCTTGTCATCTTTTATTGCCAAGTGTGACTGCCCACCCAAAGCACTAGAAAGGGCAAGAAGGCCAGCACTGCTTCCAAGCGGAGGGATTCCTGGAGGCTGAAGTCCTGATGGATGCGGTGTTAGAGGCACTGGAGGTCCATGGCCATGGGAGAGATGTTGAGCCTGCAACTGCTGCTGCTGTTCCCAGCGGTACCATCATCCCCAGAAGAACAATGCATAGCACATAGTTTGGGAAGAAGGGAGAAGTTTGGTTAATTATTGAGACTCATGAGTGGGTTTTTTCATTTGCTTGTTTGTTTTAAATCTAGCCTCTCCTCTTTGTCCCACCACACTATACCTCCTGCATTATATCAATGTGTCTGTGAACATCTCTGCTTATATCCCATAAACCAAAAAAGGCTAGCTAGACACTTGTTCTGCAGCCTAAGGAATAGTTTCAACCACTCTAAGTTGTTTTGGGCAGCTACTGCCTGCCACAGCGTCACTGGTGACAAACAAGCAGCAGCAGCAGCAGGCCAGAATATCTTTCCCTTTCTATAGAAAGGAGTATCACTGCCGTGGGATAAAAAAACCAGTTTCACTGGCAAGACTGATTTAAACTCACTCCCCTCTCTTCACTCAATTTGGAAATAGTAAGGAGGTTTCTATTTTGAATATTAAAAAACCTGAAAGACAATGCTCAATTTCATATTTGGGTGTAGTTAAATATGTATTTTATTCTAGCCAAGCTTTTTAAAAAAATTTATTCATGAACTAACACTGTGTTTAGGAACAACTTTGAGCTTAAAATCCAGTTATTCCAGATAGCATCGGTAAGGTCAAGGAATTCCTGACAAATACCTAGAACACCTCCATCTGTTTCAAAAGCAGCCTGCAATATCAGTAACATAATAAGCAGACTTCCAACCCTGTAACCAATCTGGCAAAATAAGCAATTTTACAAATAGAGTCCTTATAATGGAATGATTTCCCCATAGTTTAAATATTAAGATATTTTCTAGTTAAAGTTGTTATGGTTTTATTAATATATTACAAGTTCAGCCAACCATTTAATGTGTCCAAAATGCTCAGCACAAATTCATTTAGAAAATTAAGCTTCAAACTTTTTAGCTTAGTCATAACTCTCCTTTAGTCTGCTACAGGTAAACAGATTTTCTGCCTCCTTCCTGCTTCCTTGTGCCTGGGCGTATGAACAGAAGACAGAACCAACCTTTCCACCTTGTCCATGCTCCACCATCCCTCTGCTGAAAGTAGACACCATGAAAAAAAAGCTACAGTACCACCCAATTAATGAGATCAAAGAGAAGACAGATAAGCAAATGTCTGAACAGGATGAGATCCACCAGACATCAGAGTTTGACCTGGTGAATGCTAGTGGTCCTGTAAGAGCAGGCAAAATTGTTACAGTGCTGCTGACAGCTACTGAAATCATACCTAGACTAAAGCTTACAATGCTTCACAAGTTACTCCAAAATAACTCAACTCAAAATAATCCAGAAATATTTTATCTGCTTCCATAGGTCCCAAGGCTCTTCAAGACAAACTATCAACAATACCTGCATAACTTCTACTGCCATATGAATGACTTTATTACTATTTATATAACTACTGTGTCCCTACACTTTCTTTTCTCATAACCTCATCCCAAGACATGCCTTGAGCTGTATACAAATTTATGAAAACACAAGTGACTGACACTGAAGAACTCCAGACTGGATCTGCTAATCTTTCTCTTTTCTGCTGTCCCAACTGTAACGCACCCATCGTTTATTTATTTTTGATATACAAGATAAAATCTACCACAATCCTTTTAGTCAATTCTATAAAGCCACAAGTTTACCAAATCTTTCTCATACCATGTATCAGGAATTTCTTTCCACATGCTGCGTGAAAAGCCTTGTTAATCTTCACTGTAATACATACATCTGATCACTATCCTTGCCAGCTTTTCAGTATGTTTAAAAAGCAAGGTATGAGAGAGGTAGTTCTTATTCTTCTATTTTAATGTGTTTACAACAACCCAAAAAGTAACATTTTGAAGGAAGTATTAAGAATTATTTATATTGGAAGTAGTTAAAGCAGTAGACCACCTTCTACAAAATCAAGCAGCTATTGCTAGTGAAACTTTGTTTAACTGAAGTAGCATCAGTAAAGAGCACTGTAAAGGCTGACAGGACTGCAGCGTTTTTGGTTTGGTTTTTTTGGGTTTGTTTTGTTTTGTTTGTTTTTTTGATCCAGCCTCCAAAGAACAAGACGACATCTCTCTTCTAACAGACTTAATCATGACTTTATTAGTCTCCAGCATGTTTCCTCAAATCAGGAGATAAACTGGTTTGGCAGGCTCTCTCAGAGAGATGGCATCTTAGTCGTTCCCTTCCTCATTGACCACTTAAGCCAGGTCAGTCATCTGTACTCCAGCCATGAGGCAACATGCATCAGCAGGACTGTACTGCATTCATGGCATTGGTCTTAATGGTCCACAGCTGCACTATCACAATGGATTACCTAGTTGTGGTGTGCAATTGTCTAAGAACAAAAAGTGATTTATCCCTCTAGATTGGTTTTGTGGAGAAAAACCTCCTCCCTTCTCCAATACTGAGTTCAAATTAGCTTCTTTTGCAGTGTGGTCATGGGAAGGTCAAAACAGGGAAATGAAGTTAAATTGTTTCCATTCTTGTCCCCTATCTCTTCAGGAAGCCTGTGAAGATTCCCTTTTTTCATGCCTCTCTCGCTTGGTTTAATTAGCAAATAAGTTACCCTGCACGACTTCAGGAAGCATAGCGTAACGTCTTTAGAAATCAAACTGTTAGGGGCACATTACCTACAATTTCCCTCGCTCTGCTTTATAGTCTACACACAGGGTATTTTGAAAGTCCCAGAAATGAGGAGCAGATTAATCTCTCTAACAGGTTCTAAAGCTGAAATCATGTGAGAGAAGGGCTATGTCCTCTTTCTGACGGGACTGCATGTGAACAGCGGGGAGCAATGCCCAGTGTAAGGTGTAGAACGGAATATGAGAGCTGCAAGTGGAAATGCATCACTCTGCATAATATCTAAGGAGTTTTGCAAAATAGTTACTGAGGGTAGCAGAGGAAAATGGTATCCAAAAATATCTACCTGTGTTAAACAGACTTAAGACTGAAAACCTGATCACAGTCTTTCAAGCCAACAAAGGTATATTGTGATTTAAAGCTTATTGTCTGAGGGTCACTGCTGTTTAAGACTGAAGTATATTGATTGTTTATCTATTACCTATTCATAACAGGTTTAAAGTTTTCCCTAACACAGATAAAGATGATCCTTTACAGAAGTTCATGTTCTTTTTATTTAAAAAACTTGAATTGTTGAAAGTATATTGTATTCTGTCTCTAGAAGGGGAAAGGGGAATACATGCTGCACACAAAAAAAGACAGACCAGGGAGATGAATAACAGCAGTGCTCACCAGATGTATTTAGTAACTAGACATTTGTCATAGTAGATCCTAGAAACAATTATGTTATGCACATAATCACTTTCCTGTCACTTCAAAGACATTAATGCCTGCTCTGTCACCTTCTAAGAGCTTAGCAGCAGTGAGATATAAAAATGGAATAAGTTGGCAGCAGTATCATGGTCTAGTAGGCATGTTCATTAGCAGTTAATTAAAAACTCGACACCTGCCATAAGAAATGTGCTCAAAAAAGGATGAGTAACAGGTCTGTCTTACTACCAATTATTACCATTACTTGCAGAGCAAGGGCTGTGTCCACTTTCAGAGGGAAGTAGGAAGGTAGAGTGCAACGATGCATACATAAATGACTACACTGAGATAATTAGCCATAGCAGTGATTTTAAAAGCATCAGTAGTTCACCCACCATTTTGTTGCAAAAACATAAGTTCTTCATATTTGGAAAGGGAGAAAAGGAATAGCAAATTCAGCTTACTGTACTATCTAGATGTAGGTTTTCTTGTGTTGATTTTTTTTGCCCCTAACCAGATCACAAAGACCCAAAAATCAACACATGAAAAAAACAGTAGTTGTGTCTCTGAGCAAGCACCTCCTAACAACAATTAAAGGCATAAAAGTTTTTCACCTCCAACATCCTAGGCAAGTTCCAGCTATCAAGAGCTCTACCTAGGACTTAAAATTTGAAATTGATATTCCATCTCTGCCAGAGACTTCCAGAGATAGAGTTAGTAAATCTTTGTGAAACAGATTTACTGGACATAAAGAATGACACATCTCTTCAGGCTCCTTGCTTATCAAGATAGAGCATGAGCTCCTACAGTCTCATTTCCGACCTTAAAGTAATTCTACTGAGGTCACAAACACCTATGGCGTACTTAAAAATCCAGTTTTGAATTCCTACTGTTAAACAGTTGACTATTCTCTTAAACAGATGTGTCATGTGCTATTCACCATGATGTGCTATCTGTTGGAAAGCACTGAATTAAATATTCAGATTTGATTGTACATGAACGGTGGGAAAAAGGTTATAGCTGGTCCCATGTTACAATAGTCATCTTCTCTTGTGCCCTTCTAAATAAACACCCAATAGCAGAAGTTTTCAAAAACCTTATCAGCACTAGCAGCAGTAATACTATCAACAGATTCCCCCAAGCTCCATAGAGGTGTTCTGAAAAAAATATCTGGCGAGCACAAAAGTCATTTAGAGACCTAAAATGTAAAGGGCACTATTTCATGTCAAATTCTGTAAAACTGAAGAAATGTGATTTTGTTAAACTCAAGCAGGCAGAAAGACATGAGAGAAAAACATGTATTACTGTGTTCAATTTCATTGCCATATTCTCTCCCTTCCCAAAGGGAAATCTTCAGTGTTTTATTTGCTTGCTTTAAGTGGCAGAAGGAAGTGACAGCCTGTATCAAATGTCTATGGCCAATGAACATGACAGCCACTGTCTGAGCACATTCAGTTAGTCAACCAAGTGATAACCTTCTCTCTCACTGTTTAGAAATAGTCTTAACACCAACTTTGCAAATGTGACTTTCCAAAAAAGGAAACAACTCAAGATTATGCTCCTGTCAGATCCACTCTTCTCCCTCATCCTAAAAAACTCTGAAATCTTGCACACACCACCCACACTACCAACAGTCATATCTAGCAGGAGTAAACTCATTAGACAGTCTAAGTCATTAATTAATACTTGCATCTGTATGTACTTTCAAAAAGGTAT